AACCTATACAACTATTCAAGTTAGGAACATCTTTGCTCAATTTGAGAAACAATTAATAGCAAATGTGAAAATAGAAAATATTAATAACCCTTTAAATTCTCCTTCACCAGATATTTTAAGTTAGTACAACCAGAAATTAAGGAAATTAAAGATAAAAAGAAAGAGGATCAAAAAGTATCTATACCAATTAGTAAAAACAAATCAACCTTTATTGAACATACCTTGAACAATGACTAACAACAAATTATAACCCAACTACTACATGACAATGTTGATATTTTTGCAACTAAATTTGCAGAACTAAAGAAAACTAATGTCATATACCATGCTATCAATACTAGTAAATCTTATTCAATTAAACAAAGAGCTTACAAAGTCTCACCAGTTGAACAAAAGCATATTGAAAAAAAAATTGCTAAAATAGAAAAAGATAACATTATTTGAAAATCAAAAAGCCCTTGGAGCTCTCCTGTTGTTTTGGTTAAAAAGAAAAATAGCAAGCTTAGATTTTGTGTAGATTTTAGAAAATTAAACAATGTAACAAAGAAGGACATCTACTCCTTATCAAGAATTGATAATATATTAGATAACCTTGATAATGCTCAATGGTTCACATCTTTAGACTTGACTTCTGGATATTGGCAAATAGAAGTCAAAGAAGAGGACAAAGAAAAGACTGCATTTATTACTAAATATAGTCTTTACGAATTTATTGTTATGCCTTTCAGATTATGCAATGCACCATCTACATTTCAAAGGCTTATAGATATAGTATTAAGATCTGTTCTATGGAAAAAGACCATAGTATATATTAATAATATTAATATATATTCTATATCTTATGAGCAATATATACTAGATATACAAGACATATTCGAATTAATTAGACAAGCAACCTTTGTATTAACCCAGAAAAATATCACTTCTACACAAATGAAATGCAACTTCTTGAACATGTAGTTGGTGTTGATAGAATCAAACCAGATCTTCAAAAAGTTGATAAACTAAATAATCTTTCTCCTCCTAAAACTATTACTTAACTTCGAGCCTTTTTAGGCTTAGCATCTTACTATAGATGTTTTATAGAAGGATTTTTTACAAATTAAAAATAGTCGAGAGCATGCAATTGCTTACACTAGCTATATCTTAACTCTTGCAAAAACCAACTATAGCACTGTTAAACATGAATGTTTAGTAGCTATTTGGATCATAAAATATTTTAGATATTATATTTTTAAAATAAGATTTATCCTGATTACCGATCACAAGACACTACAATGATTATTAAATTCATATACTATTAATAACAACAAATAGATAACTCAATAGAGGATGACCTTT